GAGGTTAAATCCTGTATGTAAAGAACATTACACTGCAGTATACGTAAGCAGCAGCAAGCATGGAAAGTTGCATTTCAGCTTTTGTGTGAAGTGTAATAATGTTTTGTACTATACAAGTTACTGGCAGAACACTAGTGAAAGCAGACAGAAACAGAGAATTGGACTTTTATAACTGGACTGTCATTTTTGATTAATTAGAACACATTCACAAACACATACAGTACTTCCAGCATAGGCAACTATTATAAATGGCAAAAGCATATTATACAAATCTGGATGCTATTTTTTTTCTTTATTTAACCTTAGTCACAGGCTCAGTGAGGCTCAGTAACTTCTAGGATTTCTGTGTGGGTTTACATAGGAATCTCATTCTGTAACCTGGTATAGATTTTCCTTCGTTAATCAAATCTTGAGCTTTTCCAAAACAAGGTCAAAAGAGTTATGGTGTAAAAGTATTTGGACTTTGAAGTTCATTTTTTATATCTTATCAGGACTACAGGTAAAACTCAATGATTTTAGAAAACAGAAAATCAATTTGCTCCTCCACAGGACAAGGACTTTGGAGGAAATAGGATGAAAATACTTCAGTTATCATATTTAGTAATTAGAAAATTATTAGAAGTTGACAAGGATGTTATTTCATATCTGAATTATGCCTAGATGGACTGTTAGTACACTCAAGGTGTTCATCTAAACATTTGAGAAAAGTCAAAGGTAACAATTTCAGTGGCAAAAATTCCAATGAAATACTAAAATATATAGAAAGACCAGTGATTTACACTAGCTGTGGGGAAATCTTCTCTCAGAGGAACACTAATGGAGAAGAATATATTAATTTTGTCACCATGTAACACCAGCAGCATCAGAAGATATACTTCTCCAGTACTCTCCATTTTCTAAAAAAAGTTTTGTGCCCACAAGAAAAGTAAATCCTCATTCAGATATCAGGTTTGAAGAGTTAATTTGCACAGCCTGGACTGTGGGCATTTGAAGAAAAATATATACCAATGCCCAAGCATCACTTTTCTTAAAAGCCTTGGATGTCTTCCAGTATTCTGTGGAAGCCAATGGAATGAGTTAAAACATTTTGTCAAAGTAGACAAATCTATGCTTTAAAAAAACCAACAAAACAAACCCACTGCACCTCCCAAGAAAAATACAAGAAACTATGAGTGCACAGAAATATTTTAATTAAATTTCTGTGACTTTTCTTATTCATATAGGATTAATTTAACAGTTTGTTAAAATTTATTAAAATAAAAAAAGTAAACATTCAGGATATCAAAAAGTTTGCGGCACATAAAAACAAGTAGTAGCTATACTTGCTCTCAATAGACTTGAAATGTGAAGAAAGTAAAAATTTTTTTCCTTTCTAAAAACAAGAGGAAATCAAGGGGAAGTAAAAACAAAATGGAAAAATCAAAACTTCCTGGTCATAATCATGCACAGTCTCCTTGTCAAAATGAACAAATGAGAAGAGTCAAGAAAATAAAGAAGAAAATGAGATAAACATGTAGAAACCAGTTTCTACACATAGAATCAATTTCTAGCTCAGTCTGACAGGCTACCTTTAGAAGAATGCACCTGAATGTCCACATCATGCTCTGTATTCCATATTTCTCCATTCAGTATAATAGAGGTCTGTTCTACACTTCCTGATCAACTGGTAAATGTTCCTAATATATTACACGTTCCTAGTAGTAAAGCATGCCCTTCAAGTCAGATTTTGTGATTAGAGAATCAAATCTTTGCAATATATTATGGAAATACAACTTCAGATTGTTTTCCAAGTAAATGACAGCATTCATAATAGAGCATTTATGGTTTTCCACTGAGAATATTGCAAGCAAGAAAATCTGTGAAAATACTTATAAGTACAACAGGTATTCCTACATAACTTCTACCATTAACATCCTATATGTACTTTCTTAACAAAGTAATTCTGTGATCTGTAATTAGTGCACACAAAGCTATTCATTACAGTAACCTGAATGTATTCACACGGTTAAAAAACATAGTTTAACTAACCATTATATTGGCTTACTGCGAATCTCTTATTATTATTTTTACTGCGAATCTCTTAAAGACTACATTTACAGCAGTTTAACACTAAATAAACAGATGGTGTGAGACTGAGGTAGAGTTTTCATATGACACTAAATCTTCTTTTATTTATACCAACATAAATCTAGGCAAGTATAAGAATTTGATCTTGGAAGGTGTTGAGTAGAGCTATAAACCAGTGAACAGTCTCAGACATGCTATACCAAGAATATAATCATAGAATAGAATATAATATAGAATAATTTAGGTTGGAAAAGACGCCTAAGATCATAGAGTCCAACCTTTGAACAATCAGCAGCTTATCAACTAAACCATAGTACTAAGTACCATGTCCAGTCATTTCTTCAACACCTCCAGGGAGGACAACTCCACTGCTTCCCTGGACAGCCCATTCCAATGCTTAAACACCCTTTCAGTGAAGAAATTCTTCCTGATGTCCAACGTGAACCTCCCCTGGCACAGCTTGAGGCCATTTCCTCTTGTCCTGTCACTGGTTGTCTGGGAGAAGAGGCTGCCCCCCCATCTTGCTACAACCACCTTTCAGGCAGTTGTAGAGAGTGATAAGGTCTTCTCTGAGCCTCCTCTTGTCCAGGCTAAAAAACCCCAGTTCCCTTAGTCGCTCTTCATATCACTTACTCTCCATAACCTTCCCCAGCTCCATTGCCTTTCTCTTGACACGCTTCAGCACCTCAATGTTTGTCTCGTAGTGAGGGGCCTAGAACTGGACACAAGTACTCAAGATGTGACCTCATTAGTGCTGAGTACAGCGGGACAGTCCTGCTGACCACACTATTTCATACAGGCCAGGATGCCATTGGCCTTCTTGGCCACCTGGACACACTGCTGGCTCATGTTCAGCTGGCTGTTGATTAGAGCCCCCAGGTCCATCTCTGCCAGGCAGCTTCCCAGCCACTCTACCCCCAGACTGTAGCACTGCCTGGGGTTGTTGTGACCCAAGTGCAGGACCCAGCACCTGGCCTCATTGAACCACATACCATTAGCCTTGGCCCATTGATCCACTGCATCCAGGTCCCTCTGAAGAGCCTTCCTACCTTTCACCCACCTTGGTGTCATCTGCGTACTGACTGAGGGTGCCCTTGATCCCCTCATCCAGATCATCAATAAAGATATTAAACAGGACTGATCCCAACACTGAGCCCTGGGGAACTGCACTAGTGACCAGCCACCAGCTGGATGTGGCTCCATTCACCACCACTCTCTGGACCTGACCATCCAGCCAGTTCTTAATCCTCCCACGCCATGGGCTAAGAGCTTTTCCAGGAGAATGCCATGGGAGATAATATAAAAGGCTTTACTTAAGTCCAGGTAGACAGTTCCGATCCACAGCCTTTCCCTCATCCACTGGGTGGGTCACCTGGTCATAAAAGGAGATCAGGTTGGTCAAGCAGGACTTCCCTTTCCTAAACCCATGCTGACTGGGCCTGATCCCCTGGTTGCTCTGTATGTGCCACATGATGGCACTCAAGGTGATCTCTTCCAAAACCTCGTCAGGCATCAAAGTCAGGCTGACAGGCCTGTAGTTTCCTGAATCCTCCTTCCAACCCTTCTTGTAGATGGTTGTCCCACTGGCAAACCTCCAGTTATCTGGCACCTTCCCATTTAGCCAGAACTGATGATAAATGATGGTAAGTGGCTTGGTGAGCTCTTCTGCCAGCTCCTCAGTATCCTTGAGTGGATCCCATCTGGTCCCATAGATTTGTGAGTGTCTAAGTGGCACAGCTGGTTATTAACTACTTTCTCCTGATATGTTCTCAGAGGATCTCAGTTACATTTTATGAATCTTGCCAGCAGGGCTTAACTTTTCCATTGAGAGTATGAGACACTGCTAGCTTCTTGAAGGTTGACTACAGAAATCTTGACTTCTTAAATTTTTAATTATTTACTTAAATATCTAAACGAATAACAAGTCTTCTGGAAATATGGCTTCTTTTGTAACAAGTACTTCAGAGACCAGTATTTCTAACCATGTACTGAAAACGATTTCACATCTTCCTGCACAGAGGCAATTCTGGTCCTGCAGTAGTCATTTACTTGTTATTGTACTAGATTTCATTCAGTAGAACATAAATTAAAACTAATAAAAATGACAAACTAAATTTTGGCCATTAATTAAAATAATAAGAACAAACACGAGTGTTTGTTCACGAGCTCACAAATAAAAAAATTTATTCAAGCATCTTGCCTAAAAGGGAGAAGTTCTCTTGTTTCAATGTATCAAGAAAATTGCCTTTTAATGATTGTCCTGGAATCCTAAGTACGTTTCATTATATTGAACTGCTAAGGAAAAATGTGTTTATATTTAATTTATAAATCAATAGGTGCTTTTAATTGACATTATCACTTGAACTAGATTTGCTCAAGAACATAACACACTTTATTTTAAATTATTTTAGCAGTGAGTACTTAAAATTTAATACCAAAATTTCTATGAAAAAGATGACAATAAACCTTGTAATTTAAATGTATTGCCTTTAAAATCCTCAAAAGAAATAATCACACAGAGTTTCTGGATTCCAAGGGAGCTATAAATTACTTTCTAATAATGAAAAAGTAATTCAGAAAATGCCATGACCAATAAAATTGTAGAGAAAACTGTAGAGAAGAAACCAATCTTTGTCATGACAGTTTAATGGACATGTAGCTCTCATTTCATAAGCAATCTTGTTCTGTTAATAAACTGATTTTAAATTAGCAATTTTTATTAATAAATAAACACAACTAGTAGATACATAAACAATGTTTCTTCACCTTACTTGCAACATAAGGCATATTTGGCTGGTTACCTTAAAAGCTTCGCTTGAGAACATAAAGGACTAATAATGTTGTAGGAAGAGTGAAATGAGTTCAGACAACTGATAGAAATGTTTTCTAAAGTTAATTATGTTTGCTTTCCCCTCTCCCTTGGTGTTCATTACCTTTAAAGGGAGCCACACATTGGCAGAAATAATTACCAGGCTGGTCAATGCAGGTGGCTCCATTCTTGCAGGGAAATGAAGCACACTCATCTATATCTGTTTCACATCTTGCACCTTTGAAAAGATGAAAGATTTGAACACTTACTAAGACAATCAGGTGCCAATTCCAATTTATTTGTACCACAAAAATCTCAAGGAACTTGTGAAGAGAAGCTAACATACATCAGCCAAATAAAGAGCCACACTACTAATATCAGCATCCATTTAGCTTTTATCATCACAAATACATGACAACTTATTTCTGAGTTGCTAAATGGTAACTAATC